CCCCAACCTTTCATAGTATTATTTGTCTAGATTATTATATATAAATCTTTTTATGATAATATTTTTTACATATAAACCGAACACAATTAAAGACAAGAAGAGTTGATGAAGCATCCTCCACCTCCAATTCTGCCATTTGTGTGTGAAACAACTACTATTAATTATGAGGAACAGTGTGTTCATAAATGTTTTGTTCCTTCAAGCTACTAATTAATTTGAACATCAATAACACAAAAGTCCAAACGAGTAAGAATTTTTCTACATCTCAATTATTTTATGCACTAACAGAATGATCATTCAGATTTCAGACATCAAGATATAGGCGAATAATCACACTGATATCAAGAAAGAAGTGGATGCTAATGAAATTACATATTATGTCCATATATTATATGGTATATAACGAGGTAGGGATCTACACCACCACGAAAGGTGAAAGCCTAAGCGAATTACAATTTAACTATATACACACGAAGATGAATAAGTAGAAGAAATTACTTGTTGTTAGAGTATTCATAGACGCGTCCACGGGTGGAGAAAACAATAAGAGCAATCTCAGCTTCACAGAGAACAGAGAGTTCATAGGCTTTCTTCAACAATCCATTTCTCCTTTTGCAAAATGTAACCTGCCTGTTAGTGTTGTTCTCTATCCTCTTTATCTCTATCTTTCCCCTTCCCATCTGTCATTAATTAATTAACCACACAAAGAGAATGATGATCATGTGAATGTTACACATTAATAAATAATCAATTAACACCTATGTTTTAATTTTGAGAGTAATGAATAAAGGGGACATATATCTATAACAAGAGAAAAAGTAGTAGAAATTTAGAACAAGAAATCTCACTCTCAAACATGAACTCATTAGCTCCTGTTTGATGATAGATTTTTCAAAAAGAATAAATTAAAATATTGTTTCTTCATGAAATTTGGTTATTTTTTTGACAATTTACTATCTTCAAAAAAAATAAAAATTCAAGCTCCAAAAATTTGCCCAAATCAGTTTTTGGGATAAGTTTCGCTTATACTTGCATAATTTTATTTATTTATTCCAAAAAGTTCAAAAATTTATTCTTCAACACATCTTCAATTAAAAAAATTTAAGTTTCAACTAAAATTTATGAGAAAACGCTAGTTGAAACGCTTTCAATACAAGAATCAAAGCAATAACTCATATCATGTCTTTCTTAGTTCCATTAAGTAGAAATTGAAGAGGTAGTAAGGTATATATAAATAAATAAACGAAAGATGAAGCAGAAGTACCTTCATGTTGGATGTAGTAAAAAAATATATAATCCAAATCAATGTTTGGAACTTGTTCTTTCTTGGAGAATTGCTCCAAATTAGATTTTTTTAAAAGTAGTATTAAAAATAGAAATTAACGACGGACAAATAGTTATATGTATCTCTAAAACACCTCATAGAAAAAGACGTGCATGTGTAGAACTAAGCATTCCAAGAGATTAAACAAAGAAGAAATTTAAAACAAGAGATTTGAGAAATCTCTCTTTCACTAAAAAAAAAAACATCCAATACAAGAATTTAAGCAATAACTCACATAATCATCCACATTAGTTAGTATTGGAAGAATTAAATTTTTTTATTTTCATGGGAGAAGCTACCTCCAAATATAATAAAAAGTAGTACGTACAAATGTTTTTCGAATTCCTTTTTTTCCCCTCACGATACAGAAATGACTCATGTATATGCAAGAAAAGATGCACACAAATTAAAAAAATCTTGTGTAAACATAGCTTACACACAAGATCATCATGTTTCAAGGAGATTTTTTCTTGATCGAGCAAAATTTTCCGTGACAAGAGGGGGTTACTCAGACAGTAAGCACCCTTCACCTCCAACTTAGAGAGCGATTAAAAAAAAGTACACGCGCCTGATAAAAAAAATGAAATCTTTCATATTTCTATAACCTATGTAATTTGCAGATAGATCTAAAGCTTGACTCAGTTCCACACGAAAGACAAATTAATTTTGTCATAATGAACACAGAGAGAAACATTTCAGAATCTGCAAAAAAAAAAAAATGCATGGAAGAAAGGGAAATTAAAGTTTTTTCATATATTTTTTTTTCTTTCTAAAATTTGATGCTATGTAAAATATGAACGTAATAAACCTGATTGGCTTGAATTGAAAAATATTGCTATTTTCCGGCGAACTTCAAAGGCTTTCGGAAAATTCACACAACTTCCAAAGACTTCTTATTTGTACACTGATCAATGAAGAAAAAACACAATACTTATATGCTTTTCTTTCTTTTTATATATATCCCTACTTACCCTAACTTTCAACCAGTGGCGGAGCCAGGATTTTAAATAAGAGAGTTCAAAATCTGAAGAAGTGAACACACGAACTAGTCGAAGGGGTTCGACATCTATTATATATACCTAAAAAATAATTTTAACCAGTAATATAACATACTGGCTCCGCCCCTGCTTTCAGCCACTGATCACTCCGTCTATCTTTACTTGTCCATTATACTAAAATTATTTGTCTAACTTTATTTATCAAAAATCAAGAGATAATTTATCATTTTGTGTCTATGTTACACCTTTGATATTAAATATTACTCGTTTCTTAATATTTAGATGACTTATAATTAATAAGAGTGACTAGTGTTATTGTAAAATTACTCTTTCGATTTATTATTTTTTAAAAGATGTGCGTTGAGTCAGATATGAACAAGTAAAGATGGGCGAAGAGAGTATTACTCAAAATTAAAGTGAAGAGAGATAATAGAGATGGCTGGCTAAGAAAATGACATTCAAATGGCTTTTTTCCAGAAATAAACTAAACGTGGTGTTATGGGATTGTGTATTGCAGACTAAAATTTCACCAATTATTGCAAAGCGTGTTATTTTTGTTTCTACTTGACTAATATGCCACTTCTTCTATTTAAAAAATCTCTCACAGTTTTCGTTCAAATATTTATAATTTCTTTTTTTTAATGAGGTTTGACCTATATTAATTTTGTTTTAAGAAAAACATAAATATTAATTTACGTCTGAATTCATGGTAAAGATTCATATAATTTATGTCAACTTGTTTGAGATTTTAGAATAATATTTTCGTTAAACTTGAAGTATTTTAATTTGATGATATAAATTTATATCGTAGCTATAGGGGAGGATACAGGTTCAATTGAAATCATAACTTTTGATGATGCATAAGTTTATAGGCAAATTTTATTTTAAATTAGCAGTTACATGAATTATAACTTTAAAAATATAATTAACTCAATATTAAACATCTTGAAATGTTTAACTCATGGAATTAAAATTCTAAATTCGTTCCCGAATATCAATTGAAGATAGAGTGAAGGTTTGACTTTATAGGGTTTTGTGAAACTGTACGTAGAAATGAAAGTTAGGGTTGATTTGTTGAGTTCCACATAGAATTCAATCAGCAGGTATATGCTTAATTAAGACAGAATCAAGCAATTCTCTTGCGATGTGATTATGTTTTTCTCAATTTTTGTTAATGTCTGATTGGTCAATATTTTTTAAAAAAAGATAATTTAATAATAAAGATAATGACTTTTCTTGAAAAATAAAAAATAAATAAAATGATTTTCAAAAAAATAAAAATTTCGGAAGTTATGTTTCAGTCCGTCATCCAACACACTCTATCCCACCCTCACACCCACACCTTTCATATTATTTGCATATATAATTTTATGTAAATATTTTTTACCTATGTACTAAATACTAATAACTAAACCTTAAAATAAATCATTTATTTCTCATCATATCAAACATACCATTAGTTTATATTTCCTTTCATCAGAATTGGGGGATCTTAGTTTGTACACTTTCCAAATCACGTAATTAATTATAGACGATGACATTTCACCATTATTTTAAAGAGTTAATACCTTAAAAAATGGGGAAAGTACACAAATTACTATTCATAAAATTAAATTAATTATCCTGTTTCATCCTTCTTTTTTCAAGCATGAATCAGTATGGCATCAGCTTAATCACAGCTATGAATTAGTCCTTATTCCTTATTGATACTTTCTTTGTATATAAATCTATCACATTGTGATGTTGGGTATGGAGAAAATCTTGTTGGGAGCGCCCGAATGATCCTGCAGAGCGCGATCCGGATTTAGTCGGAACTCCAATGTGGGCTCCAGACACCGGGTGGGAAATACTCATTTATCCTTAATCTGAGGTCTTAGATTCGAGTCTCCTTGGGTGGACATCACGTGAGAAACAAAAAAAATATATGCCACGTTAATATCATATAAAATTGAACTCTTTAACAATAACCACTTTTTTTTTTACCCTTCCTAGGAGCTCCCACCCCTTTTGCTCCCTTAGTGACTCGAACTCGCAATCTTCGGGTTGGAAGTGAGGGGTGCTTACAATCCGAGCAACTCTCTCTCGTCAACAACAACCACTAGTTTATTTATTAAAATAAAATAAAAAATCATAAATTTTTACCCTGGTACAAATGAACACAAAATTTATATTTAAAATATGACTATTTTTTTCTAATTTGTTTTACCAAAATTAACTTGCTAAAATATGACTATATATTTTTTTTCTTTCATACGTTAAATCATTTTTAATAATGCGACTTCATATAATTCTTTGACCAGAATCTCGGGTTCAAGTCTCCTAGGATACAGAGTTGCTTTTGTTAGAGACGGTTTTACCCAATGTAGACTTTTCAACGCAAATTCAAATTTAATCGGACTCTAATATAAATACTGAACACCGAACATCGAACGAAAAACAAAAAGAAAATATGACTTCTACACAATATCTTTCAATGTGTTTAATGTGGATTTGCATAGTTTGAAATGTACTTTAGATGATCTATATGAATGTTACTTTTACCACTCAAAAGATTTCTTCTAGATGGTAAATCTTGACCTTAGATGGGTAAATTTGGGGACAGTAAAATCTCCAAAAGAACAAAAAGGAATTGTGATCAATTCATAGGTTAAAAATCCCTCAGAGAATCTAAGATAGATTGCCATCAGTGCTTTGCAAGAAAAAGTATAACAATTAATATCAAATATATGTGTGACACAATAATTTTTTTCGAGCTGTCATTACGTACTCATAGTAAAAGGACATCAAAATAAAGAATTAAATTTCTCTCCCGTACTTGAAAATGGAAGATTCTTAATTACACTTAGTCAAACCTCATTATAACGATATGTCACGGATTGATTTTCCTTAAAATCAATTTTACATGTTATGTTTCTTACTTCTTTGTAATAATATATTACATATAAAAAAAAGACTCATATAACGATATACTTTTTGTAAAACATCCCTCTATAATATTTATACTCAAATATATATATTGTGTGATAAAGTATTTTGTAATAAATATATTACATAAAGTAAACTTCAAGTACAAATACTTCTTAAAAATAATTGTATTTAAGTGGTGCTCATCAATTATGATCATAACTTTACGAAAAAAGACTATCGATATAAGTTTATCTTTTTTACATTCATGATCAATCTAATTTTGCATACTTTAGTTTATTACAATTAAATGAAATCTAAATATCAAATTTCAGTATATAAATATATAACAATACGTCATTATATCAGTATGAAATTTTCAGAAAAACATTGTCATCATAGAAAAATTTGACTGTATAAATATTTTGTATATAGAATTGTTTTTTTTTTATTATCCTGAAGAAAATTTCCTTAAGTAATAAACTAACCTTTAACAAAGCTAAATTATTGCGGCACACGTAACTTTATGAGTTTTTTTTTCTTTTTTTATGAATTTTAACAAGACATATATTCCCCACAAATATTTTTTTTTCTAATTTTTTGCCCATCAATTGACTCAACGAGATAAGGAATGTCCGAGTAATAGACAAAATTATGTCATTTTCTTAGACAACAACAACCAAAAAAAAAAAAACTAAAGCTGAATAATTCATAAATTTATTCTAAGAGGCCAAATGAGCAAATCATTAATTTGACCAAAGGTTATATGAGATAAAATGTACTGGATAATTAAAATGGCTTAAATAATGGGTCATAGTCATAGCTAACATGTAAACTCTTATTAAATTTTAAATTTTTTTGTATATTTTTTTTAATAATTTTTTTAAGTCTTTGATAATATTTTTCTTTTGTTATGAATATATATAATAACATTAAAAAAAGGCATTCTGAAAAAAAAATCATAAGATTTTCAATAAATCTATTTGAGCTAATCACAACTAAGTTTTAAATGCGATGAATTAAACAAAACAAAATATGTAGAATAACCCTCTTAAACTTAATCAAATCATATTTTTATGGGCTATTTTTACTGCTCTTAAGTTATCTACTAGTCAAATGAGGATGAAAGATATTTGCTTTGGAACTTTGAAGGAAAGGTAAGATTAATTGTTGAAAAAGATAAATATCAAAATATATACTTAATTCCTCCATCCCAAAAATTGTAATATCATAAGTTGCGGTGACCAAGTTATGATTGTGTCCCAATTTTAAATTTATAATTAGTATATTTAGTGTTAACTAAGCATATAAATAAGCCCAAAAGAAAAAAGATAAAAACTACACAATATGACAAACATTAATATATATTTAAAATAAATAGCTATAGTTTATTTTTATTTTATGTTATATGGATATAACTACACAATAAATACTTCAATCATCGCTTATAAGCTTAGGTAAATATCCTTTCTCCAATACTAGGATAATAATATTATCCGAAACGATCATGTATTTTGTTATGAATTGCATAAGTAATAATAATATATAAATATTATTTTTTGAACCAAAAAAAAAGTTTCCCTTTCTTAATCATAATTCATAAACAATCTTTTCAAAGGTGTATAAGCCAAAGTTTTGATGGAAATTAGTTTCACATGTTCTTTTTTTTTATTTTTTGGCTGGACTTTGGACCACCAATTGAAGTCTTTTTCATTTTCCATTTTTGGTTACTAATCAGGTGGTCAGATATTAGGTTTAGAAAAATTGGATTTTGCAGTATAGGGTTAAATGGTTTATGTCTATTTCAAAGATAGTGGTATTCATAATATTATATTTATGATCTTCTTCTGCAATTCAAGCCTCCTTTATTTGTAGGTGGTCCTAAGTCTTATGCATTCCCTTCTGTTTCCCATTTCATCTTTCCAGATCTATACACTTTCTTTAGGGCCGGTGAAAAATTATTCACACCAGGTTTACATCAAGCCAATGAATGTATGTGTACTTTTTATCACTTAACTAATCATGGTTAACTCGTATGCTTATTTGTTTAGTTAATTAGGTGTAAACACTAGGTACTGGTTAGAGATAAACAAAATTTTCTCATGAAAATATAATATGTCTAACATGTTCAAGTTTGGGAATAGTTAGGTAATTGACCCGCTTATTTATTAGTTTAGCTCATTTTAGCCTAATCTATTGTAACTCATTTTTTTATGGATTGATAGGTAGCTTAAACTGACTCACGAGAAATCATTTTAATCTTTTTTGATATTTTATATATAGTCATAAAAAAAAAAGTTAGCTACTAAAAATTATAAAATTAAAATTTATGACTCACATTATAGTCATTTCAGCTTAAGTAATTTTTGGCCAGTTATAACTTGTTCATTTAAAACTCAATTCATTTTGACCGGCTCAAATTCAGCTTAATTAATCCATCCATGACACCGCTACTCGGCACGAGCAACTATTTACCCTTTCTTTAGTGTACTTCTGCATAGAAGATTCAAGTCCTAATTAAGGATAGTTTGCTAACTGGTTTAGAGATGAGTTATGCATGTATATTAAATCATGTATAAGTAATATCATATTTGATATATAATTTAATAGTTGGTTAGGAGGTGAATTATTCATGTATAAACTAATAAGGAGTTTAGTTTGCAACTTAGAAACTGTATAACTAAAACATGTATAAGTAATGCAGAATAGAAGGTGGAATAACTGATGTGAGAAACACTAAGCAATGTATTAGTAATGCAAGAATTAGTTATGTGAAAATCAATGTATTGTTTTATACAAGGTTTATGAGTGAGACTTGCTCTGATAATCAACAATAATTAAAGTTAATGAATAATAAAATTTACAACTACTAAGACAAAATTAAAGGTCAAAAGGGTGAAAGAGAAATCAAAGGTCTTCCACTAGCAAAATACTATACCACTAATTTTTTTTTTTAAATTCAATCAGTTGCTTCAATTCTAGCTTGATAAAGGCAAACAATACATGGAGATTAATTTTACAAGTTGCTGCTTAAAAAGGAAAAATCCAACAAACTGCATGAGCAGTTTAGCTTAATATGGGGATCAAATTATTGTACTTTCTGAGGATATTAATTATTCAAGAAAAGAAAAGTCAGCTATGTAATAATTTTAATCACAACAATTATTACATTTTGAACTAAATAATTGAATCTTAATCGCTTGAAACTTCATTTGTTCCTGTACTTATAATAATACATTATTTTACATTTCACAGAAAATTATAAGACCATATGTAGCATAGTGAATATGGTGTTAAAATTAAGGTTCTATTCTTTAATGCATACGTAATCGAAAACTATAACTAGCAAAATGACACGTGGAGAGATGTCGCACTCAGACTTCTTATGATAAGGCCAAATGCACTGCACAAATCCATATTCACAATGTGTAAAAGGAACGTACTCCTTTCAAGATTTTTTTTTGTTCTGGAAAATTAAATTTGAGATATCTAATTAAGCGTCAAAATATTAAAATTGTATGTTTCTATAATTTCGTGGTGGGTTCAATTTGTGGATTAGTCAACAAACAAGAAAATTAAAGCTGGTGTTTCAGTGTGTGAATATTCGAAAGAAAAAGTTCATATCTTATGGTGTGAACTGAGAGTTATTTCCTAGACTAAAAAGGGAAACATCCTCAATAGAGTAACTTACTATTTATAAGTCCATTATACAATTTGGACCACATCCAGTTTTAGGTAAACCAATAAAACAATATATATATCTTTTTTTGAATTTCTTACTTCTAAGGGATTATTCAAGTGACTCCAAGTCCAAGATCAACTAATAGTTTATATTTTCATGTTAAACTATGTTTTTTTTATGTGGAATAAAAAAGTTATACTACTTGCTTTTGTAGTTTTAATGTTATGATTTTTGGTTAATTGATTTTGTTACTGGTCAGCCTGAAATTCATTTATTAGTGAATTTGTTTGAAAAAGGTCTTTAGCAACAAGATTATTTCAATTATTCATAAATTCTTGATTTAAGGTTTGAAGCATTGAAAAATATTTAAAAAGTTAAGCGAATAGTTAATGATAATTAAAAAAAAAATCTTATTCGATCTCTTAGAATAATAATGTAAATTACTTGAATTATGAACAAATGCTTGAATAATTGAATATTTGCACTGAGCGTTGGATAGCAATGTCATATTGCGACAAAAAAAATAGATTAGACACAATTCAGGAGTTACGAGATAGATTTTGATTTGACCTAATTACTAACCAACTTAATTCCCTAACCCTACACATTTATTAGTCATATAACGTGAAGATCGTGAACTTCTTGATAAGATAAATTATGATCTCTTCAATTTTGGAATATCGTTTTTACACATATCTATCTTTTTTTATATATTTTCAAACACCGCATATTCATACATAAGAATTCGAATGCAGACAATAACACTTATGATGATCTCCTCTAGCTTCAATCAATAGGTAAGCAAATATCAAAGTGCATCCTTGCCATGTGTCTAATTCTCATTTTTGTCACATGTATATATATGTATATTATTTAATGTGCCAAGGGATGTTTGCATTTTTATGTGAAATCTAGAAACCATGGCAACTCGGTAGAGTTATATAAAGTTTATATAAGATAAAATGAGCGTAGATTAAAAATCATAATAATTTTACAGAGTAAATGAAATAAATTTATATGAGGTACTTTGAGTGAAAATTAAAAATTCTGATAATTTTGTGGATTAAATGAAATGACTTTACATGAGGTGGCATGGTATTTTATTTTTTTTAGAAATCATGATAATTAAATAGAGTAAATGTAATAATTTTTTATGAGGTGATGAGTGAAAACAAAAAACCATGCCATTTAAGTACAGTAAATAGAATAAGTTTAAATGAGGTACCGTGAGTGAAAACTAAAAATTATTACAATATGGGAGATTATAAGTTGTCCAACAAGATAATTGGTTGAATATAACATGAAAATTTATCAATTTGCCTCGACTTACGTGCCACAATTGACATTACTTTACCATCTTCACGCACTCAACTTAATAATATCTTAGTTTTATTTTTTTTAAAAGGCCATTTATGAACTATTGTTAAAATCAGTGATAATTTTTAAACATGGTATGAAAATATCTTATTTGTGCAAAAAAATAAATATATATCACCGCTTAAAAGTGAATTGAAATGATATTTTGTAAATAAGTAATTATCTTGAATGTGTTAAACAAATTTTTATTTTTCAATCGCTTGGAGAGACAACCAAGCTATATGAAATGAATATTTGGAAGTCCAAAAAAAATAAATTATTGCCAATTAACCAAACATAGTTCTTTTGGGGTTTAAGGCTAATATGATTGTCAATAGAGATGGTAACTCAACCTATGTGATTAGAGATCCTATGAAGTAGGTTCATATGGGTAATAACAAGTCAATATTGACACTGCGCACTAACTGAGAGTGCTTGAACTACTACTGAAAATGAGGGATGAATTATTAACTCTTAATGAATTTATAGTCCTTAATTAAGGATGGTATATTTAAAGCAATATACACTTGATGAATTCACCTATATGAGAAGTGGAGTATGGCCGCTGCTATGAGACTTTGGCCTAGTCTCTAGAGCTCTCATGAATACCAAGCATGTGCATGGCCTATTGGCGCAAAATCACGTTGAACATCAAAATTACTGAGGTCAAAATGTGATTGGTAAAGTCTTTGATTTACGAAATTTGACCAAAAAAAAAGAATCTTGGGCCGTTAATTACGGGTCGAGGTAAAAGCCTTGTGTAATACATTGGTTAGGCTTGAAAGAGCATTTCTAGGCCCAACCCACTTAATAGGCCCACGAATGACAAAATTGGAGAACTGCGCAACGGTTCTGGCGAATTTCAGTTCATGGACAAAACCCTTACATCTCTCTGTGTATGTATTTTTGTTCGTGATTATACTCTCAAAAGCAGGGCTTAGCTACGGGATTTTAAGCTCTCACTCTTAACAAATGTCTTCTACACTCGAAATCGAAGCTCGAGAGTAAGCTTCTTCTCTGTCTCTCTAGATATGTTCGCCTAATGATTTTTTTTTTTTGGATGTGTGGAAAAATTACATCATGAATTTTTAGAATTTGAAATGAGCAAGGATATCTGTTGATATAAGAGAGGGATGTGATAAAGAAGTCTTATTTGTTGTATATGGTACCTCATGACTATAGAATTTGCTTATTCTGACCAAAATTAAGGTGAAAATCGAAACTTTAATTGTAGTACCCTTTGCTTTGATCTTATATGAGAAATAAATAGCATTGCAACTGGCTGGGGGCACCATCATTATGAAAAAAAGGAAAAAAATAGAGAGGAGAAGACGAGCAGAATGGATATAGAGGATTCATGTATAGTCATCCTTAGTGGTTGAGGTGTAGTTGATGAGTTGTATAGAGACACTGATATCTTATGAAAAGTACTATAGAGGGGTACCACTATCAGTCTTATGAAAAGACTGCAACTTTTACCTTACCTTTTTGTATAGTCAAGTAAAGAAGAGTTCTTGCAGCACTTGTGAGGTTTTTTTAAAAATAACCATGGTGTTTGGGCCAACTTGTGTGCACCTCGACTAATTCCACGGGGCACCTGCCAGTCTGCCACCTCCCACCAGCATAGGTATCTGCTACCGAATAACTCTCTATCGAACAAGGCTGGGATAGATGAGAAGAAATCACCTGATATATATGCCCCTGCTGGGAATTGAACCTGATAGCTCGTGGTTCTCAACCCACTTTATTGACCATTAGGCCACACCCTTGATCAGGCTAAGCAAATTTTTGTTCTGGGGCTCCATGTATAACAAGAAGACTTCTTGCAATGCCCTTTGCATTTATCCGACCCATATTTATGTCCACATTACTGGATAGAGGCTGTTTCTGAACTGATGCATGTATAAATAGCAGTTCTAGCTAGTTGAGCTATTTGTTGTCAGGACCATTTTTCTTTCTCAAGAAAACCATTTGACATTGCTCCTATTGAAGATACTACCTTGCGAACATATCAATTGGGAACAACATAGGAGTATCTTATTGTTATTGTTGTATGTGAGAGATGATGTTATCTTTCTTTTTTGTAGTGTCATTAAGATAGTTCTTCAATTCTGCAAGGAGAACTCTCTGCATCAATCTTTCCAGACATTGCAAAATGAGTGCCAGGTTTCTCTTAATACTGTGGATAGCCTTGAAACCTTTATAGCTGATATTAATAGTGGAAGATGGGATGCAGTACTACCTCAAGTTGCACAACTTAAGCTTCCTAGAAAGATACTGGAGGATTTATATGAGCAGGTTTGCACCTCTTCATTGTTTCAAAGAAACCTTAATGCCTAAACTTTAATATGTTATCCTCTTTTAAATAGTGTTTTTTAAGGTTATTATCCTCTTACTTGCTCTTTTTATGGATTCAATGTTTTTTGAGAGTTGTATTAAATATGTCGGATGTGAGAGTGAGTAGTATTTGTTAATGAAGTAATAGATTGAGTATACTGAGAAACGTCCCACAGCTTCTTGGCTGCCTGGCTATGAATAAAGAAGTGATTCACCTCCTAATTTTCTTCAGACATATTGCATATACTGCACATTGCTATGTCCCAACTCTGCAGTTTTGCTTGTGTCAAACATGCTTCGTGGTAATCCAACAAAATATGGCCACTTTAGGTGGTGCTTCTTTCTCTGTATTATCTTCCAAGGCCATTGTATGGTGGTACTTTGATTCTTGCTCTGATGTGTACCCAGATTTAACAATGTACTTCCATGATCTTGATGTTTCTATCTAACTGTACCTTTTACAGCTGGGAAAATTTTAATCTTCTCCAGCTTCCCCAACAGAGTAATAATCCTTTCGACTTCCTAGCCTTAACAACTTCTTCTAAAATGTAGTTCTCATCTTCTTTGTGACCAATTTTGTGTCACTGTTACATCAGTATTAACTGCCATATTTTAATGATCTGGGGATTCATTCTTTAGTGGAATATGGCCAGTCCAAGTGTCTTGCCAAAACCTCATCTTCATTCTATTTCCCACTGACAAGCATATATTTTTACATGATCCTCCCATAGATTTCTAATAGTCTTCCACACTTCTACTCCATGAGAGCATACTGGATCAGTTTCCTTCTTCCGTTGCCTAGCAATTACAATGTATTTCCACAATGGTCTGTTCTCTGAGTTGTACCTCCTACCTCCATAGCCATTCAAATAAAGGGCTCTTGTTGTGCAATCTACGCTTGTTGATGCCTAAACGTCATTTCTGCTGTGATGACTATTTTGTAATGACAGCTTGTTCTCCTAGTTTCCACTCCATAGGAAATCTCTTCTCAGCCAACCTGTTCTCTTTTCCACTTTTTCTGGAAGGGGAAAGAGTGACATCACAATATATTTTCTAACTGTCTAATACACTATTTGTTAACATGCCTGCCCCCGCCCCCAACATACACAAAAAACCAAATGACAAATTTTGCTTCTTCCAACTTGACAATATCCTTTCAAACATCTCTTTTACCAATTGCAAATGGTATTGCATTTGTATTTGGCTCCCAATTGGAATCCCTAAGTATGTGGTTGTTGGGTTCCACTTTGCATCCAAGTATCTCTGCCATGCTGATTTCATATCTCGTGATTGTTGCATGCTTGGACCGGGCTGGACTTTAGTTTCTCGTGATTGCTGCATACTTGCACCTGGGCAGAACTTTAGAATTCAGTTCGTGTGACTGACTCATGCACTCGGTAGAACTTCAAAATTTAGTTCAATGTGCTTCTTTGGCAATCTGGTTTTGTTTTCAGATGAACTTCAGCTTGATGGAAAAATATTGAAGTGCAAATATTTTTAACTTTTGATCACCTTTTGCTGTCTTTTCAGTACAACCTTTTCTGCTCCTTACTCTTTCCTTTATCTGATAGATTGTCTTAGAAATGATTGAACTTCGAGAGATGGATACTGCACGAGCTATTTTAAGGCAAACCAACGTGATGGGTGTCATGAAACAGGAGCAACCAGAAAGATATTTGCGGCTCGAGCATCTACTAGTCCGGACTTACTTCGATCCTCATGAGGTTAGAATCATTCTCAAAAAAAAGAAAAGATTAAGCTATGTGGTCTTTTCTTTATGTCGCTAGTTGAGGTTTGAACACCCTCAGCGATTGTTGTTTGTATTATTCACAATGCAATATTAGCTGCGCAAGTATACTTGTTTTACTTTTCCATCTCAAAAAAAAAAGTATTCTTGTTCTTCATAAAAAAAGAAGAAGACAATAATATACTTGTTTCTTACATGTGCTCAACCTCCTGTTAGATCTCTTTTTTTTTTGACAACCTCCTGTTAGATCTCTGATGGTGTAAAATAATTGTCTTTCTTAATTGTCTGCCGCATCCTTGACTGCTTGAAGTTGTCTTGATGCCCTTGACTTGAGGTTTGACTGAATGTGGATTTTGACCTTGCCTGCAAATGTTATATGTGCAGGCTTATAATGACTCAACCAAGGAGAAAAGGCGTGCCCAAATTTCCCAAGGTTGCCAAAATCCCACTTTGCTCAGATTGATAAAACATTTAGTTTGAATTTTGAAAGAAAATCTTGAAACAAAGATATTTGCAATATGTGCAAATGTTGCATGTAACACGGGAGCAAGTTTTATGAGAACAGCTGTTTCATTTCAGTACTCAGAGTAATTAAATGTTAGCAATCTGTCTTGATATTATAGACATAGATGCATGATGCCGAGACGAATGTAAAACTGTTTAGCCTGTTAAACTCTTCAAAGAGGTATTGAATGACCACCTGAGATGTGACTACTTCATCAGAAAAAAAAAAGTACAACCACCTGAGATGTGATTTGAAGTAAATCCCTTGAAGTAGTTTTGTAAGGTTCCTGCCAAGTAAAGGGAAGGCGTACTTCCTGATTTGGTCACCCGTTCTAAGAACCACTACATAAAAAGCTGCGTCTTAGTATCGTTCCTATTACTTTATCCCACATTCCCACCAGATTAACATGTCATTGCTGCAATTCCTCATATGATCCGTCTTTATTCTAATTTATGTGATCTTTGAATATGTTATATTCTGAGATCTGTATTATCTTATCTGCATAATGATGGCCTTATAGTGGTCCTCCACGTCTTTGTAATTCATTAAGAAGTACATTAATTCTACAGTACTAAATAGGGCTGAGCAGTTTATGATATTTCAGGATTGAAATGGTTGGAGTGTCGTTGTCAATTATATGTACTTATTAATGCATAATTTGGTTAACAACACACCTAAGATTATAATATATCTTCTTTGGATGCATGCAGCACTTTCTGCTGAGGTTTCTGTTGTTCCACCATCACGCTTAATGGCTTTGATTGGTCAAGCCTTAAAATGGCAACAGCATCAAGGTGAGATATATTATTTTCATCACTGCTGGAAATCCCACCTCTAGATTCTCAATTGACTTGTTAGTAATTAACATGAAACTTCTGAGCATTTTTAACTTTGTTGAAGAGTAAGCAAACATTGATTTTCATGCTCATGTATCCGACAACACTTTTCAGGTTTACTTCCACCTGGAACACAGTTTGATCTATTCCGAGGAACAGCTGCTATGAAACAAGATGAAGAGGATATGTATCCGACAACACTTGGTCACACTATTAAGGTTTGTTGGTTTACATTAAACTCTTTTTATTTGCATGTTAGGTTAGTTATAACTTCATCAAAGAGATTTGTGTTGCATGTTAGGGTTGTTATAACTTCATCAAAGAGATATGTTGTTGAGACAATCAAACTTTCAACCTTTGGATTTTGCTTCAGAAGTCTCTGTGAAATTCAAAAACATGGTGACCTAGATTTATTTGAATATCTATTTTATCTTATTTTCTTTTATATTTGTTTTTCATGCTCATTATCCTTTGGAAGGTTAGAGCAGAAGGGGGAGTTTACTTTTTGTTATTCCTATTATGAATCTACCCACATGCTGAAACTGCTCTCAGCTGGTTTATAACCTTCATGCATGATTTATCTCTCCATTTTTCTTTTTACTGGTGTCTCTCTGTTAATAGGCTTCTCACTGGATGAGCTTGTCCAGCTATTTTTCCTAGTCTCTGTTTTTTTCTTTTGTTTCAAGCCTTGTCCGTTTTCCTCTTTCAGTAGTAATAAGGGGAGTGAATAGGAAATTTAAATCTGATAATTTTATTTAAGTAATGGATTTTGTGCTGCAGTTTGGTAAGAAGAGTCATCCAGAATGTTCTAGGTTCTCACCGGATGGACAATTTCTTGTCTCATGCTCAGTTGATGGATTTATTGAGGTATGCTAAAGCTAAGTCTCTCCCCATGCTATCTTTCACTTTTATTCCTTCTCTTTTATGCTTTATTGATGGTATAGAGTTGATCCAATTTATTTTTACATTACTCACCAGGTCTGGGATCACATAAGTGGAAAACTGAAGAAGGATCTTCAATATCAGGCTGATGTGAGTTATACGTTTATTTCTTTTCAATTTTCTGATTATTGTTTGGGCTGTATTTTCTTGGAATTCAAGTGTAATTCTTTGGCTGTTTCATCTCTGTATGTTACTACTGGTGCTAAATCTTTGCTGGGAGCAATTGCAGTTTTGTGACTTCTACACTGTATTTGCCAAATATATTAATGAATAGAAGATATACCATATTTCAGCTGTCGGTTTGCTAGTTGTCTTGTGAATTGCCTTAAGCAGTTATTCCTTTGTAAATGTCAATATGCAGGTAGTTCAAATCTAAAGTAAGTTGTTTTTATCAAAAAGAATGCAAAGCTGTTTGTTATCTAGAATTTCATAAATATACGGTCATTTGTTTTTCTTCCTCCTTTTTTTTTGGTGTGTGTGGGGAGTTTTGTCTATCGTGCTGGATTCCTGCTTCTTTCATTTCCTAATCAGCAGCAGATGCATCTGAATTTGTGTGTAGTTATTTTTTTGAACTCTGGATGTTCATTCTTGTGGTTGAATCTTTTGTATTTTCTGACTTGCTGTATATTTATGTAGGAAACTTTTATGATGCATGATGATGCTGTCCTTTGTGTTGATTTTAGCAGAGACTCGGAGATGCTTGCGTCTGGGTCACAAGATGGAAAAATAAAGGTAAATGTTTAGTTTCTATTCTGCTTTATAGTTTATACCGTAAAACCTTTTGTCTTGATGTAGTATAAGATTTCATTCGAAATGCATCAAGTAGATGCACAACATAGATTACAATATAAAGATGTGTCGGCTCATGTACAACTGTTTACTGTAACACTTGAGAGGATACAATCTGAAAGGAAGTTCATGACTAGTTACATGTGCCTTTGTTTAACCAGAAAAAAAGGTTTAATAAACACTAGGTTTTTGCGACATGATTAGGAGTTGTGATACCATCAACGCATCTTCTAATTCCTGTCATTCCAGACGCACCCAAATATACAAGCAGGGACCACTTTCCAGATGTTCTTGATGGATTTTCCAACTCTCTATGAACATCAGCACTCATAGGCTTTCTTACATTATTAGGCACAACCCAAACAGTTTCAAAAAGTGAGAAGAACATGTTCCAGATATACAGTAAAACCTTTTGATTTCTTATTATCTTCATCCTGCCAATTTAACTAATGAGAAAACTGAGACACTTGAGGAAGTCTTGAGCTATGTTGCTCGGACTCTTCAAAAATGTCATTGGGTGCGTATCAGATCCTTCAAACTGGTACAGTTTTTGGAGGGTCCGACATGGGTGTGGTAACATTTTTGGAGAGTCCGAGCAACTTAGGTCTTGAGCAATCTGTTTTAACATTGTTATGCTGTGATTGCACTTCAGATAGGTATTATGTGCAAATGCAATTTGATGTAACATGCTGAAGCAATCAAATGAAGCAACATATTGTGTTGCCTTATATGTTAAATTAATTGAAAACAGCTTCATAAAGATCCTTAATAATTTACTTATAAAGAAAGAATCTTTAACATTTGTTGGAGTTGGAGAAGGATTCAATGATCAATTGAATGAGAGAAGAAACAAAATTATAATGGCTATTTTTGCTTAGCGTTACCTGTTTGATCAGAAACTTTAATTACTGAATCAATGCGAGAGTCCAAGTTGTCGAATTTATGGCACATCCTTCATATGCCTATACATATCCTTATTTTAGCTAGTTAAAGATGGTAATTGGTAGGATATTGGACAGCCCTTAGCAGAATGTCATGTTTGAACTTTGTTTTTAGGCTTTTTAAAATAATATAAGAACATAATGACTTCTGACAAGCTCATCACGTCTTTATGGGTTGGTTCGGTGTTTTGTACATATTGTACGGGATTGGTGTCATATTTAATATCAATATGGTTAAACTTACAATTAGAAGTCGAGAAAGCTATGAAATTTAGGGAATACATTACAATTCATCAATAAAATTGATGACGATGAAGTACAAATCGTCAAATTTATTGTATCCGGTGCATATTCCAGTATATCTAGTACCAGTACTAATACCAGACTTGAATTTGATAGTTTCTGATGATGTGTTTTACTTATATTTCTTTGAATGACCCCAAAAACTAGTGGTATATGGGAATAGTTAAGATTGTGTTTTACTACCAAAAAACTAACAATCAATCTATACTAACTGGAATCTTGTAGGTGCTCCAAAACTTTACAAGAAATAACGACGGTCATCTTATCTGTAACAAGGAGTTCACGAACTCTTCAAAAGTTTTTGATTCCTTTTATTTCTAAATTCCTCATTATCTCCTCTTCATTCTTGCCCAACTTAGTTACCAGTCTTAACTGAAACAAAATTACCTACGCAATATCAAACGCATTCCATAGTCCATATCATGCCCCAGAGTCATTGGCCCAGTTGGCAATGAATTAGTAAATGTTTCACATCTTCCCTGATCGTGTGCACATGTGGCACCAACTGATGTGAGTCACCCTCTTCCTCAAGTTTTTAACGGTTAGAATGGGTCCTCGGGCTCCAGAAGCTATTTGTGCTTTAAGAAATGAGGATATATAAATCACCTTTTTCTACATCTTTCCATAGTTTCCTATTATGGGTCTGTTACTAGGTAAATGGGTGATGTCTTGTGACTTGATTACAGCTTGGAGATGCATGATGGGTAGGAGAAGGAGAAAACAACAGTAAGCGATTGTGTTCTATCCATCCACGCATACTTTGGGTAATCTAGAAAGCAAGGAACATCAGGTGTTTCGGGAACAAAGAAGTTGCAACATATTTTGAATCATAGTTGCTTGTAGGAACTCCCTTTGAGATCTTGATTTCTCTATAGTGTAAGCGTAGAACATATATACTGGGAGGTGGCAGGTATCCCATGGAATTAGTCGAGGTGCGCGAAAGTTGGTTCAGACACCATGGTCATCAAAAAGTAAAAAGAACATATATACTTCTGTTCATGTACAGAACAACAGCTGCTTTGTGCTCACCATAATACAAGTTCTTCCTTATAAGCACCTCTATCTTATGTCCTTTTTCCTGATGTCAACTTGTTAGATCTGATTTTGGATTGCTTGTTCTTATGTTACTGTGTTTTATAGGTCTGGCGCATAAGGACTGGTCAGTGCTTGCGTCGCCTTGAACGTGCACATTCTCAGGGTGTCACTAGTCTTGTCTTCTCTCGAGATGGAACTCAGATCTTAAGCACATCCTTTGACAGCACAGCGAGGTTTTTTTCCTTTGACCATTTACTGCGATGGCATGTCATCAGTAGCTGTTAGGCATAGTGGTTTTAGCTAAATGATATCCTCAGATGCGCCGTTATATCTATTAATTAATCACTGTTGGTCTTGGTTGGGAGAAGCATGCCTGATATCTCTGTTTCATTTGTTGTAGAATTCATGGCCTGAAGTCAGGTAAATTGTTAAAAGAATTCCGCGGACATTCATCTTATGTGAATGATGCCATCTTTACCTTTGATGGATCTCGAGTCATCACCGCATCTAGTGACGGCTCAGTGAAGGTAAGATTATTGTCTTTCAAGTTTCAAGTGAAGGTTGAGAGAAGCATGCTATTTTCTTTTCCATTTATATTGGGGTTATCTGCTTTATTCTGTGTGCATAATTTGTCTGAGTTGCCTCAAAACAGGTCTGGGATGCCAAAACTACAGAGTGTTTGCAGACATTTAGACCACCTCCTCCTTTAAGGGTATTCAACTTGCCTGGGGCATATACCACTATATTACTTATTATTTGTTAGTTTTTCTCAGGATACCTTCTTTTACACGATTTCGTTTTTTGAACTCATTTGAATTCCTTTCTCTTACAGGGTGGCGATGCATCTGTGAATTCTGTCCATCTTTTCCCTAAGAATACTGATCACATTATAGTGTGCAATAAGACATCATCTATTTATCTGATGACACTTCAAGGACAGGTAAGCATTGTTGTTTGTGGATCATTCTTCTTTCCCATTCGTTAGGTTTTTGTTTGGGAGATTTTTCCCTTTGCCAAAGTGAGGAGTGAACAAGTTGGGGAGTGGAAGCATTTTTGACAAGCAACAGTTAGAAATCAAAATGTCAAATTTATTTTCTAAAAGAAGTTAACATAAGGATAATGAACTGAAGTGGCTGTAATCTTTCCAAATTTTAGAGAGCACAAATGGTAAGTGAACTTATGCTGTGCAATTGTCATGTAGGTCGTCAAAAGTTTCTCATCTGGTAAAAGAGAAGGTGGAGACTTTGTGGCTGCATGTCTATCACCAAAAGGAGAATGGATATACTGTGTAGGTGAAGACAGGTATGATATGAAATTTATGTCCCTTTGCTTCATTGGAGTTTCAAGATTGGTACTATTATTTCTTATTTCAAAGGGTTAAGAGAGAGTGACTTTGATGAAACCTTGGTGAACTTTGATTTTATTTCATCCTTGAGGATTCCTCTCCTCTTACATTTAACAGACTTCAAGGACTTGCTTCGTCTCTAAGATTGAACGTAGTTACTCACTTTAATTTTTTGGAGTTATTCTGAAACTATTACAGCTCTGTTGTATATCTACTTTTGAACCAGCATTGCTGATTGTACAGTGGCAAATATTTTCTGTCTTTTTTCCATCACTAAAAGTGCTACTTATTTGAACTTCATTAAGTGGATGATATTGATATTTAATGCAAGGATTTATCCCATTTATGCTGATAATGTGGTTTGTGCATTTCAACAGAAACTTGTACTGCTTTAGTTATCAATCAAACAAACTGGAGCATCTGATGAAGGTAAGCTTCAACTCTGACATGAAGTTTGATTACTTATTGTCACAGTTACAAGTCCTACTTGTAGAGTTTGGTATCGTTACAAGGCTTTCTTGCTTTCTTTGTCTCTCGTTTGCTCACTCAATCATTGCTGGGACATATGTGTATGTACCTCAGACGTACATATTCACATATGTGGATGCGGCCGAGGCTAAGTTAAATGTTTTTTGTATTTGTCAAAAGATGAAAAATAATAGAGTACAGGAGGATATTGATTTCTTAAATGTTTTTGTTTCAAAAATCATGATTCACTGATGATGTGTCCTGGTTTTCAGTTTCTTACCTGATATTTATACGAAAAATTAGGAGAAATACCTTGAATATTTTGGTTTAACATGTCTCATTTTTCTTCTCATAAAATACATCTCCAACCAATCTGCTAGCGAAAGAAGATAAAATGATAGAAAGATCAGCTTATTCATTGTGTTTATTTCTCTCCCCGGTCTCGATTCCACTCACTTTTTTACCAAATCATGCTTGCTTTAATCATCATTTATGTTACATATACTATTTCCTTTTGGTTACTCTTAATCCTCCCTTATGGCATTTTGTACCATTCAGCCCCCCTGAACAACACAAACATATGCATTCACATGCACTTGTTTATGCATACACTTGCATAGTGTCAAGTTGAATGTCAAATATGGTAGTTATTCCTTGTCACAGATGCATTATATTTGTAGGTGGGCTTTTAGTGTTGTTGTTTTAAGTCCTGGAACTTTTTGTTGTTCTTGGTTTCGGAACAGGATGAAAGGTCAAGTTGCTGAGTTTTAGTTTGTGCATTATGGCAGGTACATGAAAAGGATGTAATTGGTATCACTCACCATCCCCATATAAACCTTGTTGCCACCTATGGAGAAGACTGCACCATGAAGCTATGGAAGCCTTAAACATTCCTTTGCCATGTTGTCACCTTCGTGTAAAAGTGGACTAACATTCTGTATGATTGTTTCTTGGTGCTGACTAGTAATACTTGGTGTTTAGTGTAACGCTATTTTCATAATCAATGTATATTTATCTCTGATATATATTTTTTGTTTGAACTTAAGTCTATTCAATCAGATGCCTCATGTAAGTGTCTTTACTAAACCTTTGGTAGCAAAAGGAGTTTATGCTATGAGTATTAGGTCTTCTTTTTTGTGAGTCTACAATAAGCGCGTTATTCGTTATTATGTATGTCAAATTACACATTGATTGGGGGAATTGACATGTATGAACACAAAATCATGACATCTTTTTGTGATAGTGAAAGGAGATTTGACAAGTTAAATGAGGGATTGTTTCACTTTTCAAATGAATAACAGTCTCTGTCAACAAAAGTACTATATTCCGTCAATTCTCTATGTCGAGAACTAAAAAGTATATTTTCTCGAAGGGCAATTTATTTGAGAAATACAACCTGAAAACGAATATATTTACTAATTACAATTCAGATAATACTTATCTTGGGATTGGGAGGAATCCAATACGAAATATTAACTAATAAAAGAAAGATAAAAAACTTGAAACAATTCGAAACTCAGAAGACTCGTTTTTGCATGTCAAATAGTAGGAAAAGTATATTATATATATACTAGCAGTACACCTAACGTTTTCAAGAAGGTAGTTATAACAAAAGTGTCATCAAGTCAGACAAAGGGCCAGTAGTAGTAAATGCTAAACAACCATCTCAATTCCTTAACTAGAAAAACCAAAGGTATCGGGTTCCGGTCCTTCCGGATACGAAATTGTCTTAGTTAGGGAGTATTTTACTCTCCAATGTAAAATTTTCTGATGTGAACTTGAATTTTGTCGGACTTCAATGTGGAAAATAATTAAAAGAAAAATCGTCTTAACCGTCTCCAACACACAAAAGCAAGTTTTCTGTAGACTTACATTGCACTGTACAGTAGACTATCCCGTTTAATTATAGATTTTAAAGTTAAAATTGAATTTTTAAAGTTGTGATTTTTGAAATTTGAATTTGTGTTAGCACATGCAATTTACTTTGAAAAAAAATTAAAATTTTGCGGGTGAAAGTCCTATAAATTGATAACATGAAAATGTTTAAAGATCAGATTTTCACAATGAACGGAGAGGGTATATTTTTGCATTTATTTCTTAGCCATAAATTAAACCTTCCCAAACATGCATTTGTTTCTTACATTTTCTTGGGAAGTGTGAGACTTCATTATATTGTTACCGGCCAACGAACTATAAGTAAATGAAGGAAGCAGTATTATTAATGTAAAAACGCGCAATGCTCCCTCCGCCCAAAGGGACCAATTATTTGTTAACTCACAGCTCATATTTTTGCATGACATTGGCATGGGTAATTACTACTTCTATCCATCCATCCATACTGGCTTATTTTCAGGGACGACGTTTTCAACAAGATTTTTTAAATTTCCGGCATAAACTTAAAACTTTCAATTAAAAATAACGAGATTTCAATCATCCCATCATAACCTTTGTGTTGGTTTTGACTCTTCTCTCTTTGTTTTCAATGTTTATTTTTTAGAATTTCTAGGTGAAAATATAATATCTCCTGCATTTAAAATTTACTATAGTCGTTTGTCACTTTGGATTTGTTTTGAAATATATGATAGTTTTAGTACAAGGAGAAGCATTTGTTAACTTCTTTTAAAAAATCATCCTTACTATTCTATTCCCTTCGTTTCTATTTAGTTGTCACAATTTTAGATTTTACCTCTCTCAAAAAATTACATAAATGTATCATTGTACCTTTATTTAGTGTTCTCTTGAAGTCAAATTTTCAATTAATAAACATGAATTAATTAATTTTGATTAATTAATTTGACTAATGAACATGAATTAATTACTTTGTCTGCCTATGTACGTAGGTCAAATGCATATATACTTTCAAGGCTAATTACTTTTAAGGGTAAAATAGAAAGAATAATGTCATTTGTGCATTGATTTTGAGAAATGACAACAAATATTAAGGAATAACTAATTCTAGTAAGGACGACATGTAAATAGAAACGGAGGATTTAGTAAAGTATTAATTAAGTGAAATAAATACTTCTTCCATTTTATTTTATATGGTTCTTATACTAAAATTAAAATTTCTTTTTTATTTGTCCATTTATCAAGAAAAAAAATAGTTATATGTAAAAAAAAGTATTCTCTTAGGAGAAATGTCAAATCAACATGGGGTAAAGAAAATTAGACTAGCTTATGGAGTAGTGGTTTGAACAAATACTTAGGGGTGTACATTTCGGTTTTTCAGTTTGGTTTTACATTATTCGGTTTGGATTTTCGGTTTTTGGTTTTGTAAAAGTGTAACCCAATCCGATTCAAAATAAATTTGGTTTGGTTTGGTTTTCCTCTATTCGGTTCGGCTATTTTCGGTTTGGTTATTCGGTTATGTCAATAATTAATAACATATATAACCAAAGTAATAATAATCATAAGTAAAACTTAAAACACAATACTTATAAGTATACCTATTATAGATGTAATTTCAAACATAAAATATAAACGTAATCATCATGAAAGACAATAGCCAAAAAGGGGCAAAAGTGGTTAACTCCAACTTAATTCTAAACCTAAACATTATATATATATATATAATTCGTTTTTTTCGGTTTTTATTTTTTAAAATCCGAAACCAAACCAAAAAACCAAACAAAGTAATTTATTAATCCAAAATCAATCCGAAAAACCAAAAACCAATCCAAATAAAAATTTGGTTTGATTTGGTTTGGTTATTCGGTTTAATCCGAATAGTGCACACCCCTACAAATACTCATATAACTAAGATTGTTTATTAATATCTTTTCAAAATTATACAAATTTAAAAGACAAATAATATCAATGGAGAATAACAAGTACTCTTTTCATTTCAATTTTTTTTAAAAATTCGTTTAGAAAGGAATATTTTTTATTTTTTGATAACTTTTTAATTTTTATTTTCCACTTGATATGTTTTAAAATCATAATATTTAAAAATATTTTGGTACATTCTATCTTTAGTTTAAGATTACAAAATTTAAAAATTCTTTATCTTTTTCAAATTGATTGTCAAATCAAAACCAATCAAATAAATTAAAACTGAGGGAGTAATATATTAATACAGTAGACTCAAGAAGTTAACCCAGGAGAATAGTATGATAACCTTCCAAATAGGTATAGATGAACAAATTATTGATAGCAAATAATAGAAATGAAATGACTAAGCATAATAGTAGTAAATATACATTATTTTAGATGATGATTAATTATTGTTGTAGAGTGAGTAGCACTTAGCATACAAAATTAATAAAAATATATTCTCAATATCAATTCTTATATACTCACTCATCAATTATTACGCATTTCTGCATAAAGCACCATACAGGTGAATTCATTTACTCCTCTCTAACTACCGCATATTTATTTCCCCCCACCTCTATATTAAACCTTCTCATAGCAATTTCAACTTACATTTCTCATACTAGAAAATCCATTTTACAAAAAAATAAAATATGGCTTATAATTTTAGGCTATTTCCTTTGTGTTTTTTGTTGTTTGTATTGCTAGTGAATAATAATAATAGTGTAATATTATGTCAAGAAGAAGGAAGTGGAACAAGAAGTGCATTGGTGCCTGCTATGTTCATATTTGGAGACTCATTGATAGACAATGGCAATAACAATAACTTAGCTTCTTTAGCTAAGGCTAACTATCTTCCTTATGGAATTGATTTTAATGGTGGCCCTACTGGTCGTTTCTCCAATGGTCTCACTATGGTTGATGTTTTTGGTACGTATAATTTGTGTTACGTAAGATCTATTAAAGGGAAAAAACGCTTTCTATCTGAATTGACCGCTCGAACTCAAAACCTTTAGTTAAAAGCGACAAATTCCTATCTATTTCACCATAATTCTTGATGGTAGCATGCATGTTGATTATTTTATTATATATATATATATATATATGAGTGAATGTATAGAAATTAGTGTAAAAATAAATATTAACACATGGCATTGTACATGCAGCTGAATTGCTTGGACTACCTTTGACTCCACCATACTCACAGGCTTCTGGAGACCAAATGAGATTTGGAATCAATTATGCCTCTGCTGCTGCTGGCATTCTTGATAATACTGGCAGAAATTTTGTAAGTACTTTTTATTTATATATTTTGTGGCAAAAATCACCTCAACCTCCAAGTAAAATTAGAAAAAAAATGAGTAAACTTGTATATAGTACTATTATTGTATTTTTAGTACCCTATTGATGTAACTTATCCTGTTGTAGTAAGGTTTTTTTAACCATATTTTTTAGGTAATTAGTTTTACTTATAACGGTAAATTGCCTATAGTGATCTTTTTCAGTGACATGTAATTAGTGTAATTTAGAGTAGTGTATAAAAGTTAAATGAGATATTCAAAAAAGTAAGTAGGCATTTTGATGACTACCGTGACAATAATAACAATAATAACGTATTCAGTATAATTTCATAAGTGGAGTCTGAGAAGGTCAAGATGTATGTAGTCTTAGTGTCTTACCCCTATCTTGTGATGTTAAGGAAGTTGTTTTTGATAAACCCTCGACTCAAATAAGTAGCATTTGGATCAAAGAAAAAAAGAGAGACCGTATGGCCTACAAACCTTAATTTTTATGGTATCCCATTTATATTGGAGCTTCAATTAATTTGGATTTGTGATGCATATGACCTATTTAAGGGAAGAAACTCTCTTTATTAGGATTTTTTCCATGAGCTCAAAACCTCTAGTTAAAAATGGATGAATTTTATACATCTCACTACAATCCTGGTAGGTAACCTTAAAGATCTTATCAATGATGCATCTACTCACAAGTACAACCTAATAAATGATACTTCAAATATAGCAACAATAAATCCATAAACAATTAAATAAACTTAAATGCACTACACCTACCTAACACCTACCCAAGTACTTTTACATTTTTTACCTTTTTATCAATTAGTAGAATCTTGCATGTAGTAATTAATTGTATAGATATATATTTTCATTATTATAAATTTTATACAGGTAGGGCGCATTCCATTCAATCAACAAATCACAAATTTTGAGAGCACACTGAACCAATTAAGAAACACTGGTGCAGGAGATGTGGAAGAGGCACTAGCAAAATCAATTTTCTTTGTTGGAATGGGAAGCAATGACTACCTTAACAATTACCTTATGCCTAATTATAATACAAAAAATCAATATAATCCTCAAGAATATGCTACTCTCTTGACTCAACAGTATAATCAACAACTTATAGTAAGATTCTCTTTTTATTATCTCATATTTTCTTTTCTTGTAATTTTACAAAATTAGTTTGCTTTCCATATTTTCTTATAGCAGAGTACTAATTTATGGAAAATCATTTTACAAATTAGTTTGCTTTCCATATATTCCATCTTCATTTGTGTTAAGTACGGAGGAAAATAATTTTTGAAAAATATTTTTGATTTTTGCATGTTTAGTTGATCAAAATATTCTGAACTCTAACAAAACAAGTTTTTTTAAAATCAGGAAAATGACTTTTTTAGAGAGAACAACGAAGTGACATTTCAAGTTAATTGTCTTCTTCCCAACCCCATCCCACCCCACCTTGACTGCCCTACCCCACCCCACCCCACCCCTATAGTAATTATTAGATTGCATAAATGATTTTTCAACAATATTTTTTTGCTTACTCACTAAACATTTTCCTTTGTACCAAAAACATAAACTAGTAGTTATTCCTTTAATTTACTAACCAATGTTTTCCCTTCTTTTTTTTTTTCCTCCTTGAATTCATGAAACTTTTAGAGATTATACAATCTTGGAGCAAGAAAATTTGTGATTGGTGGAGTAGGACTAATGGGGTGTATTCCAAGTATTCTTGCACAAAGTCAAAATGGTGCATGTTCAGAGGAAGTGAATCAACTTGTCCTTCCATTCCATAACAATGTTAGATCAATGCTCACCAGCCTAAATTCCAATCTCCCTGGCTTCAGATTTTCTTACATTGACATCAGGAATATGTTCCAAGATCTCCTTGCTAATTCCAGACAATATGGTAAGTCAATATATTATTAATCCATACATTAAATAGCTCCATGTATATTAGCTAACTAAATTTGTCTCTTCAACTTTTGTAACAGGATTTAGTGAAGTAAATCTTGGATGCTGTGGAGTAGGGAGAAATAGAGGGCAAATAACATGTTTACCATTCCAAACACCATGTTCTAACAGGGAACAATACATATTTTGGGATGCATTTCATCCAACTGAGGCAGTTAACATCTTGTTTGGAAGGAAAGCTTTTAGTGGTGGACCCGATGTTGTTTATCCAATGAATATTCAGCAACTTGCCACTCTTTGACTTTGATGTTATGGAAGGAAATTGAATTTCTTCTACTAATTAATTACCATTTATGTGTAGTGAACTGAGCTTTCTTTTTTCTGTTTTAACTTGTTTTTGTGGGTATTTTTCTATAATATATTTTTGATTTTTGCATGTTTAGTTGATCAAAATATTCTGAACTCTAACAAAACAAGTTTTTTTAAAATCAGGAAAATGACTTTTTTAGAGAGAACAACGAAGTGACATTTCAAGTTAATTGTCTTCTTCCCAACCCCATCCCACCCCACCTTGACTGCCCTACCCCACCCCACCCCACCCCTATAGTAATTATTAGATTGCATAAATGATTTTTCAACAATATTTTTTTGCTTACTCACTAAACATTTTCCTTTGTACCAAAAACATAAACTAGTAGTTATTCCTTTAATTTACTAACCAATGTTTTCCCTTCTTTTTTTTTTTCCTCCTTGAATTCATGAAACTTTTAGAGATTATACAATCTTGGAGCAAGAAAATTTGTGATTGGTGGAGTAGGACTAATGGGGTGTATTCCAAGTATTCTTGCACAAAGTCAAAATGGTGCATGTTCAGAGGAAGTGAATCAACTTGTCCTTCCATTCCATAACAATGTTAGATCAATGCTCACCAGCCTAAATTCCAATCTCCCTGGCTTCAGATTTTCTTACATTGACATCAGGAATATGTTCCAAGATCTCCTTGCTAATTCCAGACAATATGGTAAGTCAATATATTATTAATCCATACATTAAATAGCTCCATGTATATTAGCTAACTAAATTTGTCTCTTCAACTTTTGTAACAGGATTTAGTGAAGTAAATCTTGGATGCTGTGGAGTAGGGAGAAATAGAGGGCAAATAACATGTTTACCATTCCAAACACCATGTTCTAACAGGGAACAATACATATTTTGGGATGCATTTCATCCAACTGAGGCAGTTAACATCTTGTTTGGAAGGAAAGCTTTTAGTGGTGGACCCGATGTTGTTTATCCAATGAATATTCAGCAACTTGCCACTCTTTGACTTTGATGTTATGGAAGGAAATTGAATTTCTTCTACTAATTAATTACCATTTATGTGTAGTGAACTGAGCTTTCTTTTTTCTGTTTTAACTTGTTTTTGTGGGTATTTTTCTATATTTAGTTAAGAATGTATTGTCTTGTTCTTGTGGAGGCAGTTACTGATATATTAGGAATGTGTGTCAATCTATAATTTTATCATTCTTTAAAAGATTCTCATATTAATGTGCTTCAAACATATAAAATGATAGTAAATATTAATGGTATTGATAGAAAAGGGTGTTAGAAGAACTTGAGTGTAGGCAGAGAGATACTCTCTCCACAAATTATCTTGTCGTGATTTCTAATACAAACACTGAAATAAAGTAAATATGAAGAGAGATTATATCTTAAGAAATAAATAGGGACAAAATAGTCAAAACTCTCTATTAATTAATATTTTCTTACGAGGCGTATAGAAGAGAAACACGATAGGGAATTTGAGACGGAGGGAGTCCTTATTAGGATAACCATAAGACAGACGAGGTTGTGATTTTGAATTAATGAATGCAGAGTGCGGAGTCTCGTTCACCCATTATTATTTTTTAACAGTAGGTGAGAACTTATTAACTATATAGTTCTTTAATAATTGAAACAATTATTAATTAAGTTCATGTTGAAGATTATGAGTGTGCTCACACCCACTGCCAGTTGCTATATGTAATCACGAGTACGATTCTTAATTTCCAAGGTATGATACCTTTTAAAATTGTAGCATCCATCCCAATTCCACTATAGATGTGAAGAACTATTAGACAAAGGAAAGGAAACCCAACACACGAAACATCACGCGTTTACACAAGGTCTGAGAAGGGCCATACCCTTGGTGGAAGGGACCTATTCTCACGCGAACATCTCTTATGGCTCGAAACCATAACCTATTAATTACACGAAAACAACTTGACAACTGCTCTAACACTTCCCTTCAGAAACTATTAGACAACAGAAATCTAGGATTTTTAAGTTTTTGGATGCAGAGGATAACTGCACCTACAACTCCTTTGTTAAAGTTTTCAAGAATGTTTGCTTGTAGCTAGAAACAGATTCATGATTCAAAATCTAGTAGAAATACTTGTTACCCAGCTATGTCTTACCGGACTGATGAAAAGATTTCGTCAAGGATCAAGAAAATACCATTCAGAAAGAGATCTAACATGCTTTTTTGCTAAATTAGAAGTGTGTACCGATGTGGATGAAAGTAAACAGGGCAAGTAGCATGGGGATCTATCAAAACAGGAGTTACTGGTACTTGTGTTGGTAAACTGATGAGTTTCAAGATTACTTGTCATTTATCAGCAAATGTATATAGAGTACAAAATTGGCCAGCATATCCAGAATATCAGAGGTACAAGCAAAGGAAAAAGAGAACTCAACATTACTCCTTGCAGAGATTAAATGAGTCCTTTAACGGACCTTACGAACTTTTTCTTCCTGTCCTAAGCCGAGAGATTTTTGTGCATTTGCTATTCCTTCAGGATCTGCCAAAATGAAAATATTAGATTACAGCGCAAAAAAAAAAGAGAAGGGGAAGGAAACAAAAATGATCAAAAGGTTTTAGAAGGGGAAAAACATATCTGCTTTATACTTCATTTGCTTTCCCTGTACTATACCCATAAGGAAAGAATTAAGATCTAAAAAAACTAAGGGGGAAACAAAAGAAAATCTTTTTCTCCTTTTCATCTTTTAGCCATACTGCAGGAGACTGCTAGTCGTGCCTTTGCATTTGCAACTTGCATAGACAACTTAACAAATATTACCTAAAGTAAAATGTCCAGCCTAACACCTAGAACTCCAAGATTCAAACCTCCCAGCAAGCTTTTATTTGAAAAAGGAACACCAAATGATCCCCCACCTCCAAACAAAAAGACGGAAGGACAGATACTCCAAAATAAGCAAATTGAAAAGGGGTCTTCATAAGAAGAATAGACATTTCAGTAAAATGACGAAAATAACCAAACTAGCCAAAAGTAGCTCCCAAGGGAACACCACAAAAAAGGACCTTTTTCCTTGAAAGCAAATTGTAATATGCAACAGACAAATAGGCTTACCAAAGAATTGCGTAAAGATACTCGTAAAGAAGGTCAAGTTACGAGAAACATTGTATGCCATTGTAGGAGGCAGAGGTTTAACAACTGTGTCAATGCTGAAGACACGTTGAAGAAACTGCAAAGAGATGAAAGAATGGTACTGTTATTTTCTAATAAATCAAGAGATATCAAAGGCTCCATAGCTTTTAAAAGTATAGCAGATACTGATATTGAAGGGTGTCATCCATTATCAAAAAGAGCATCCACTTAATTTCCTAAAATTTCCTTTATCAGGTACCAGTGTCAGTCTATCAGATACACAGCTTTAATTTTAGCTTTAGATTGCATTTGGTCTTCTAACTAGGGGTGGGCATAAACACCGAAAAACCGAACCGAACCGAATTATTTTGGTAATTCGGTTTCGGTATTTCGGTATTTCGGTTTTCGGTATATGGTTTTGTATTTTTCGGTATTTCGGTATGTAATTTTTGTGTAATTCGGTATTTCGGTTTACCGAAATATATTATATTATAATATATATTAATATTATATTAATTATTAATATTAAAAAATAAATATTATAATTTAAAATTAAAAACAAAAGTTTGTCTTTTCAAACTTTTCAACTTTACAAACCCACTTCCTAAAAGGCAAAAATTACCATTCCCACTTCCCACGTCTAGTCGTCTACAGACTATAGCAGCGTCGACCGGCAGCATGCAGCAGCCGCCAATTGACCAGCAGGCAACCGCAGCACAACAACGACCGGTAAATTTCAATGTTATAACAAGGCTAAATTTCAATGTTAACGACAATTTATTATTTTGAATCATACAATAATTTGAAAAACAGAGTAAAAATAAGCAAAAAGAAATAAAACATTAATAAAATAAACAAAAAAAATTACAAAATTTTAAAAAGCCCACTAAGCAAGCCCATAACAAAAAACCGAATTAACAAAAACCGAACCGAAATAACAAAAACCGAACTGAAACAATAAAAACCGAACCGAACCGAATTATTTCGGTTCGGTGTTCGGTACACGTTGTACAAGAACCGAAAACCAAAAAAAAAAACCGAAACCGAATCGAAATACCGAATGCCCAGCCCTACTTCTAACGGTGTAAAAGGATTGAACAAACAGATTAATAATCAATCGTCGAAAAGGTTCAGATGAATGTATTTTGTCATCTATAGTTCTTCTACATATTGTCAGGTTTAGCATTGTCAATCCAAATATTTATCAGATTGATTTTACATTTATAAAATTAGCTATCTTCCCCAACAATTCCTTTTATCTCTCTCTCAACATTGCCCCATCTATATGCCACAGTTCCATTCAGTCCAATCTTCAATCAAACTTCCAAGTACATATCTATTATTTTGTTTAATCCAAATCCCTTGAGCTTCATCCTTTGTCAGCTTAGATCATCCAATTACTCCAAATATTTATGAATTTGGTCGAAAATAAGCCCAAAATTTCAATTACAGGGATTCTTGGCACAGTGAAACCATCTGAAACCTCTTAGAGCTAATCTAGGATTGATGTCAAGCAAAAACAGAAGATATTTTTTTTTATGATGACAAGGGAAACCCGCAGCCGCTACCCTTTGGGTGCGCACAGGGTAAAACCCCCGCTCCTATGCAATAGCTCGCAAACCATACATGAGAGGTAACCCGTACTAGGCAAGTCCGGCGACAAGCTCGACCTAGAAGGCAAATCCCTTGCTTTCGCTGGCAAGGGGTTTCGAACTTGAGACCTCCAACATGGAAGTCCCAAGCCTAATTCCATAGTGAGTATCCAAGTCAAACCCTGAATTTAAGCACTGGGAGATCATAAGACAGCCCATTGAGCAAGTACTTCTGCACTATCAATGACGTGAAATTCTTGATGCTAAAAAGGATAGTTTGAGCAAGGCTTATGCAACAAACACTAAGGTGATGGGGGAGTAACAAATGTGAGGAGAGGAATAGAGGGTATTGGAAAAGAGCTCGAAAGAGTGGGAGGGAGAGCACAAGGGTTGTTGAAAAAGCAAATGGAGAGACAGAGGAGGAGCAAGCAGACAAGGGTGTACTGAAGCACAGAGGTGGCTGGAGCTAATCGAATTGTGAAGGGATAGGTATGTATGACTGGAATAGCTGCCCATTGTCATTGCTGTCCTTAGCTTCTTCCTTGTGCCCTTTCCTTTTTCGTAACTTTTATAGTTTCCTTTTCCTATTTTATTTTTCATGTACCTTCAAGTTGCTTAATTAATTTGTCTTATTCTTGATGTGCCTCTAAGGCTCATTTAAAATCAAATGCTTCACATTGAGGACAAAATAAGAAAAAGCAATATAATGGAGAAAAAACCATTGTTCAACTATGGACTGGAAACTAATTTTGTAATTCACTTACTGTCTCTCCACTTACATGGAAGGGCATGTAATTGGAATCAAACACAAATACAAGTTTCTTCATTGCACAGAACTTCTCTAAAATCTACCCTAATATATATCTACTGAATGTACTGCTTGTCTGACACATGCAATACACTGAAAGCCACTTTGATGCAACACAACTTCTGACTCGAGAAAAAAATGGTCTGATGGGTCTAAGTTGTTATATTAAGGTCTATGTTCTATGAGATCCAAAATACTTCACCAAAATAAATGTTAGTATGTTTAGACCACCTCCACGGCTCCACCTCGCAAGTGGAACTATTTGAGGCATGCTGGTCTCACACATATGACCACTTTAGGATGTGGAACCCATTCAGCTCTCTATCTTTTCACTTGATGACTGAAGTCAAGTGCCACACTGGTCTTCATGATAGAAACTTACATCGCCAAGTGCCAACATTGGGATACCTTGGACCATTAGTTGGTTTTGCGTCACTTGTGGGATCACATTGGGTTTGTTGTTGTTGCTGTAAGTTCCACAAATTCATCTATGATCTATGAGCATAGTAACCTTTGTTTTCTTACTCTCCCAGATTTTGGAAGAGTAGTCCCATCACTTCTCTTTGAAGTTTGGAAGTTATTAAAAATCTTTTATTTGCAGATTAAAGCTCTATGAACAGAAAAACACATACATGGAAGTATCATTCCGTCTCCTGTTCCCTCACCCCTGTTCTTTTTCTGTTATTTGGCAGACTAAAGATTAAAGCTATATAAATCGAGTCTATTGCAACACATTCATTCTTATTGAGTCGCATAGAAAGAGTTGAAGACCCTGAAATTATTCCAATTGCGTCCTATGCTTTTCCCAATTGAGTAATACTCAATGTGTTTGTGATTCAACTTTGCCAAGAGAAAATCCTCATTGACTCATCTTCACTATTATATCATAACAATTCACTATTTCTCTGACATAAAGTTGATAAAACTATTTTTTCCCTTCCATTAGCAAATAGCCAAAAGCAATTCTTTGAAGGTACTATTCTCAAAAATTGGAATGCAATAACCTATCAAAAGAAATCAACAATCTTCTTAATCTCTCAAATGAAATTGGCAACCTTTTGAATCCAACTTAAACAACGAAACCAACCCACATACAGTTAGAAATTCCATATACTCAAATCCTAATTAGTTTAGGCCTGCAATATAAGTTGCACTGGCTGTTCACCTACATAGTGGGTTCAGCTATAGCCTATATAAATCCAATCTTGTTATTCAGAGAATTTATCACAAGTTGTGGACTACTAGTTTTACGCTAACCAACTATCCTTCCTTATCCCAGACTCAACAGCGGAGTAACAATTTCCATATACTAACAACACAAGTTTATGACTTTATGTGTACACCAATTGCGGAACCCGGATTTTCACTAAGGGGGCTTCAAAATACGAAGAATAAACACACTACTAAGCCAAAGGGGTTTCATCATGTACAAATAGTGTAATTTCCCCCGAAGTAGATTCGGATGAACCCCTCTGCCCTACCTGACTCCGCCCCTCATATCTACAAACAACAAACAGAGAGAGAGAGTAGAGAGAGGGACCTGGAAATTACGTTGGAAGCTGTAACGAAGTTCAGGATCAATTTCAAGAGAATCATCTGCTTCATTTTCTTTGGAATTCACGGTTTTTTTACCAGGAACGTGCATAGTGGATGTTTTACCTGGTTGGCTTGTAACTTTAAGCCTTGCGTCTTTGAATTTTTCATCTTGTTCTTGGTCTACCCTCCATGGTGCTGACGCTAACAGCTCTTTCTTCCCTTTCGCCATTTTCAAAGCTCGAAAAAATTGCAGTCTGAGGAGGAAAACGAATGGAAAGAAGATAAAGTAGACAAGAGTTTGGCCAGACCAAACGACGTCGTTTTTGTCATTTTCAATTTTAGCTTAATATATACAAATTGACGCCTTTACTTTGTACAATTGTAAAATCAGTCCTCTAACCTCACGGTTCTTCGATTAAACACCACAAATTGTTCGAACTCATACTATAAACATCTTGAAATTTAGATAATCAATCGATTGATTTACTTGCTAATACGTAGTGTACACCAATTTAATGTCATATACATGCATTTCTTTTATTGCTTACATATTTATTAAAATTTATAACATAATAAAATCTTCACATTTTCCTAATTTTTCTGTATGTCTAATTTATTTAAGGTGGAATAGTAATAATACCTCCATTTCCTAAGAATTCGATGTGCAATGTATCAATATCATATTGGTCTTTCGATCAAACCATTTGTAATCCACAAGGAAATTACTTTCATTTCAGAAAATTTTACATACACACGAAATCATTAAAGAATAGATCAAACAAAAGGCAAAATAAACTAAATACACGTATTTTTGACTTTCAATAAGGACAGATCCTCTTTCGTGTAAATGTAAAACTATATGATAATTGAAAGATTACAGAACACGTACTCAAAAAAATAATAACAGTGTGACAAGACTAGGACTCAAGGACAAAAGGACTTAATCAAACCACTTCTATAACTTGGGATAGTGAAGTGCCTAAGATTTCTAACTTGTCCCCTAATATATCCCTCACAAAGAAAATTCCTAGAGAATTTATCTTCAACATACCTTTTACAATCATGCACAAACACATCAGTTTCTCCATTTTCTCTATTCCTAGCCAATAGTCCAACAGTATATATCACTTTCATCCTCCCTGGTAAATCATAAAATGAACCTGTTGGTGCATCAATCATAATTAAATCCCATTCAATTTCATACACTTCTTTTGGCATATTTGTTAGGGCAAGTGGACACTTAGAATTTCTTGGATCACCTAAGTTTTTTTTGCAAGAATCTTCTCTTTTACCAATACTTAGAAGCTCAGGAGCTTGATCAAGTCTAGTTTCATAAGTGTATTGGTAAGCTTCTAGTGAAGGTACTTCTTTAGTAATTTTGTGGATCCAATCTTTATTTTCTTCGATGAAGACGGTTCGTCCATTATGGTTGAATGAACTCCACATTAAGCTATCAAATCCAAGTCCAAAGACTAAGAAATTGCATGGTGATTTCTTCTCAAGGACCTTAAGTGTTATTGATATTTCGTCGTGTTTTTGTTGCATTGTTCTATTGGTAGTGGCATAGTGGAGAAATGATTCAGCTAGAGATGGTGGAATCTTGTTGCATGAGTTTATTGATAAGTTTTTTAGCTTGAAAGATGGGGAGTTTGCTCTTAGTATCAAGTACAAGAGAAAGATGAAGAAAATACATGATAATATGAGCTTGTTCATGATCATTGTTTGTTGTTTTTTTGATGTTATTTGGTTTTCTTTCATTGGGATAGACTTGTGAGAGTATATGGAGGAGCTAGATGGTTTGGTTTTTAACTAGCTTTGAAATGGAATAGGGAAAGAATTCACAATTAAATAGTGATTTTACATGATTTGTTTCTTAGTTTAAAGTGAAAGAAATGAAAAAAGATACATTGGTTTTGAGCTCATTTAATTAATATTCATATGCATTGAATATTCAAGATCAAAATTCAATGTTAAAGTGCATTTGTAGTTATTTTTTATACTCTACTAAAGAAGAAACAGAGGACCTAACAAATTAATTGAAAACGTGTTTGTTATGACATACTATAAACTACTGTTTGGAACAAGACATGTCTAGGAGCAAATTATGATGGATATTTCAAGAGGCGGATTCAAAATTTGAACTTTATGAGAGGTTGATATTCTATTGCAATTCATTCAATTATTGAATTTCAAATTCATTGTTTATACTTTATTTAGTGGATTCTGTTAACGTATATACAAAGTATGCTGAATAGAATAGGTGGACTAAAACCGATCTTGTTCGGATCCCCTACTCCTGTCTCATTCTATCCTTGTTAACAATCATATTTATAACTATGGTAACGTCGATACATAATATCAACAGAGCAGCTCAATAGAATAGGTGGGCTAAAACTGAAATTTAAAAGGTGACCTTATACTTATTTAGTACTCTCTTCATCTCAACATACTTAAATAAAATGAAGCAAGCAATAGAGTTGAGGCACATACATTGAGCCATGACAAAATAGAAGTTTCGAAAAACATTACAGCAAATTACAGAACTAAAAAGCCATACAGACAAATCAGAACATCTCCTTTAGATGGAAGAAATTAAAGAGGTCCTGAACCTACTTTAGGGTCACATCCAGTGTTATCTTCTATTTCTCTTCTAATATTCATAGCTGAATCCACAAGAAAGTCACTGCAGTTAAGCAATGTAGTTTGTTGCAGTGTTGGAATATCAGCAAAGCTAGGAGGGATCTCCTTGAAGTAGAAACAAAATAGTAGATATAGCTTCTCAAGCACGGGAAAGGATTCGTCAGATGCTTCCCATTCATTCATCTTCACACTCTCTAATATCAAAATCTTGAGTGAAGGAAACTCGACATTTGTGACGTCCCAGTAATGGTTCTCTGATTTTCTCACAGGAAATCCCCTCTTTATTGTGAGACTCTCAAGCTTCTTCAATCTTGCAATGTTTGAAACCATTCCTTCCGTCAAGAAACAACCTCCAAGATACAAACGCCTAATATTTGAAGGTAAGACAAAGCAGCTCTCCCATCCAACTGAATCCCAGAATTCCTTATAGCTTGTCACCAGACTAAGATATTGAAGCTGAGTATGCACTTCCACTATGGGAAACAAAGGACAACTAGGTACATCGTTAACACAAAAGCTGATTTCTTCAATAATCGGAAACCTCCACCAGAACCTTGGAGTCGTATTATCTACAAATATATGATATGTACGGAATATCTTCAAGTCTCTTAGCATAGTTGTTGAAAGTTTCTTCAAATATTGCACGATCATTCTCTTCCCATAGAAAGGACAATTTGTATATTTCTACAAGCCTAGCTTCGTCATTTTCCAGATAGCCCCAGGCGATGTCCTTAGAGTATTAGGTTTATGAATGATAAAGAGTTTGAAGATCGAGCAGATGAGCTATCCACTTGAAATCAAATTCTTTGACATTAATCTCAAGGTACCTCAAGTGAGTTAGCAATTGTACTTCATTAGCCCAAGAACTTGGAAGGCATACCTCCATAAATTTCAATACCCGAACAAGTTTTAGTTTTTTAAGTAAAGATAATGGATTTGATCTGTTCCCTGTGTAGAATTTTGGATGAACAATGAACTCCAAAGTCCTAGGGCATATATTCACCAAAGCACTTTGTTTCCAGATTGGACTGGAGCATTGGAATTTTATCCAGCAGATATTCATAATGATCTAATTGTTTAACAAGATCATCATGAATATAAATGCCTAACCGTGGTTCCATGGAATTCAAATGTTGATATGGATTGTATGGCACTGTGTGCTGCATAAACTTTTCTTCTGTAAGTTTTTTTAAGCAAAACTCACGCACTACATCATGAAGTATGCAGCATATTACGTCACCATCATAATCCCTGAGAGAAACCATTACTAGGCTTCTGTTAAGTAGATCATTCAAGCAAATTCTAGATGCTTCCTCCATATTCTCTGTGTCGACATTCAGTACAAACTCTTCAGCCATCCACAACATCATCAAATCCGATACTTGAATCATCCAGTCTTCTGGATACAATGCCATATAGAAAAGGTAAGGCTTTAAGTGGTCTTCCAAACGGTCATAACTTGACTGTATCACCTTCATACTCTGCTCTCCTAAAACATAAGAACTTAAATCATTTGCAATTTCCATCCACATGGACGGACGCCTTTCCATTTGCATAATAATTCCAGCAATCAGGACAATCACAAGAGGAAATCCCTTGCAATGTTTGGCAACTTGTAATCCTGCTTCCAGTAGATCCGGGGGACAACTCTCTCCTTGAAATACTTTCTTCTCCAATAACTCCCAACTCTCTTCCGGAGTTAGAAATCTAAGAGAATAAGGTTCACTACAATGTTGAAGATGTGTAGCCACTCGTTCAATTCGAGTGGTTACCATTACTCTACTTCCATATTCACCATTAGGGAAACATAAACCCAAATCTTCCCATGCCTCGACTTCCCGTGTATCATCTAACACAATGAGGTATCTCTTGCCTTTAAGAGCCTTCAGCAACTTATCAGCTATGTCAACATCCTCTTTGATTTCACTATTATAATTTGTAGCTTGTTTGAAAATCTCAACCAATAACGTCCTCCTATTATATGATTGTGACACAGCACACCATACTTTAACATCAAAGTGGCCAACAATAGAAGGATTGTTGTACACTTTCATGGCCAAAGTTGTTTTACCAAGTCCTGGCATCCCAAATATTGAGAGGACGTGCAACTCCTTTGTTCCTCCGGTCAATTTCTTCATTATAATTTCTGCATCTTTCTCAAAGCCCACAACTTCAGCATCATCAATTGATGGAAAATTACGTTGAGTAGAAGGTCCTCCAGAAGAAAAAGCTCCTTCTCCACAAGTCTCCATGTACAATATGTCAACTGCAATCCAACTGCCTTGATCTCAACTTTCATAAAAGAAATGAAATCTTCAAAATTTAGACAAAAAAACCAAACCAACAAATTATAGCCTCAACTTAACTATGTTTTGTATGGGATAAGACACATATACCCCCAAACTATGACCGAAATCTCAGATACACACCTTAACTAAACTAAGATCCTATTACCCAAACTTATTTTTTTGGTAATTTTGTAGACATTTTGGCTTACGTGGCACGCTCCGTAACTCCACGCAATTGAGGCGCGTGGGAGATATTTGGATGCCACGTAAGTCAAAAAGGTGTACAAAAATTTAAAAAAAATGGGTTCAGGGGTAATATGACCTTAGTTTAGTTAATGTGTGTCTCTGAGATTTCGGTCATAATTTAGGCGATACTCGTACCTTTTCCTTGTTTTGTATCAATAAAGTAATTTAATTTTTGAGTTATTTAATACAAAATTAATCTAATTGGATTTGTCACCAGTTCTAAAAAAAATATTTGACAGTTTTTTTCATGTTCCCCTTTTACTTCATTAGTACACTTCTTTTCATCCTTTAAGAAATTAAATCCCATTTATTGCCCAACTTACCAATATTGTTCAGGGCCTCATAATCCAAAATATAGAGAAATTTTCAAGTGAGCGTTTTACATTATTGGAAAGAAAAGGAACTCATAATCACAACATATATATAAAGAAGACATAAAAATGTGAATAAATATTATTGTACAAAAGATGAGAAGAGAAATAGCAATATAACAACAACAAAAAACTTGAGAAAATTCTTACCTTGTATTGTTGAGGGTGGTCACAGATGAGAGTTTAATTGTTTCAAAGGTTTGATTAATTTGATGGTAACAAAAATATAAAATGAGAGAGGATTGTATTATGTGAGGTAGTTTGACTCGGTACGGAGTTTAAGAAATAAAGGAAGATTTTTAAAATTTGTGGTTCAAAATGCATGAAAGAAATTTGTGTGGCCGTAAATCATTTCATTAAGGGTAAAATAAACATTTTATAGTTAAATTGTTACTTAATATAGAAATGTGTCATTCTTTTTAAGATTGACCAAAAAGTAAAGTAAGTCACATAAATTGGGACAGAGGGAATACTCAAAATCGATAGTATCAAGAATATTTGAACGTTATTTCAAAAAAAAATCTTAGATCTGTACAATGTGGTTTGAAAAATAAAAAGAAATAGAGAAACTGAAAATCATTAATCTTTAAATGTGAAAATATAATAATTAAATTAAAAAAATAAGTATTTCTAAAATGAATTGATGGTGTAATTTTCTTTTCCACAGTCAGTGGAACGAAGTTAATCTCATTAAATTTTAGGGTGTATCAACTTCTGGTTTAGAGTAAATATATTAATTGTTGATGGTGCTTAAATAAAAGGATTATAGTAAGACTTGGCTAAGCAATAATTTAGAATAAAAAATCAACTTAATTACGATAATGAATTCTAGATCTAAAGTAATGTGCACACTCACATGCATGTATGATTAATGATCAATACAAGTGATGAGAACTATTCAAATTTTGCAAAAAAACAATGGTTTTAACCTCCAAGAACCTTCACTAAACAAGCTCGTACTACTTGTCATGTTTTTTTTTCTTTTTTAATCTCAAGTAAACCCATAATCTCTATCATATGCTCTGTCTTTTGGGTGGACACTTTGTGGTAACCTGCTCACAGGAGATTAAAACACATTAGGAAGTTGATATGTTAAGAAATGCATTTAACTTTTTTTTTTGTTTTTTTTTAAAATGTGAATAAAAAACATCACTTGACAATCTGGATAGTCCATTTTCTGATGAAATTAATGCACGAGATGAAATTAATTTTGAATATACAGATATATTATGAAATTGATACTGAATACATAAATATATTAAATTTGTTAAACTTCAATACATTCTGAAATACAAATAAAAAGGGAGATTTGCAAATCTTGCAGAAGAAAATAGGGAGTAATTACCCTGCAGAAGAAGAAAAGAAATACAATATTGTTTAGTTGAATACTTATTTGGATTGAGAATGAGAATGAGAATGAGAATGTCTATGACTCTACCTATGCTATGTGTATCGATCTAGGACAATAAAAGAACTTGGAGACTGTCACATCCTGTGTTTTCTTCGATTTCTTTTTTGATATTCATAGCTGAAACCTCAAGAGAGTCGGTATAGTCATACAGTTTAATAAGTCGCAGTGTTGGAATATCTGCAAAGCTCGGAGGGATCTCCTTGTAGAAGTAACCACTTCTTATAGATAGCTTCTCAAGCACAGGAAAGGATTCCTCTGAAGCTTTCCATTCTTCCATCCTCATAAAGTTTAATGCCAAGTATTTTAGTGCACGGAACTCCACATTAGTGACGTCCCAGCAACGGTTCTCTATTTTCCCCAAAGGAAATCCCCCCCTTAATGTGAGACTCTCAAGCTTCTTCAATCTTGCAATGTTTAAAGTCATTTCTTTCGTTAGGAAACAACCGCCAATGGACAAATGCCTAAGATTTGAAGGGAAGACAAAATAGCTCTCCCAACCAACTGAATCAAAGAATCCCCGAGGGTTTATGACCAGATTAAGAGATTGAAGACGAGTATGAACTTCCACTGAGGGAAACAAAGGACAACTAGGTAAAGCTTCAACACGGAGGCTGAGTTCTTCAAGATTCGCAAATCTCCACCAAAACCTTGGATTCATATCATCCACAGTTATACGATGAGAGTGAAATGTCTTCAAGTTCTCAAGCATAGTTGTTGAAGATTCTTCAAAAATTGCTTTATCATTGTCATCCCATACCAAGGAAAGTTCGTTTACATTCAAATGCCTCAGCTTCTTCATTTTCCAGATAGTTGCAGGTGATGTCCTTCTAAATTTAGATGAATCAACCACTAGAGTTTGAAGATCCAACAGGTGAGATATCCACTTGAAATCAAATTCTTCAACAGAAATTTCAAGGTACCTCAAGTAAGTCAGGGATTGTACCGCGATAGGCCAAGAACTTGGCAGATCCTCATCAGGAAAATGCAACACCCGAACAAGTTTTAACTTAACAAGTAAAGGTAAAGGATTTGATTTGTTCCATGGGTTGAAATTTGGATGAGCAATGAACTCCAAGGATCTAGAACATTCACCAAAACACTTTGTACTTTCCTTAGACTCAAGCATTGGAATCTTATCAAACTGATATTCGCAATGATCTAATTGTTTAACAAGATCATCATGAATATAAACGCATAACCGTGAATTCATAGAACATAAATGCTGATATGGACTGTATGGCACTGTGAGCTGCATAAACTTTTCTTCTTTAAGTTTTCTCAAGCAAAACTCACGCACTACATCATGAAGTATGCACCTTTCTATGTCACCATTGATTTTCTTTTTAGAGACCATTACAAGGCTTCTATTAAGTAGATTGTTCAAGCAATTTCGAGATGTTTCCTCCATGTTCTCTGTTTCAGAATTCAATACAAACTCTTCAGCCATCCACAACTTCAGCAGATCGTCCACTGCAATCTTATGGTCCTCTGGAAACAATCCCATGTAAAGAAGGCAGTGCTTTAAGTGGTTTTCTAAATGGTCATAACTTGATTGTATTACCTTCATACTCTGCTCTCCTAAAGCAAGGGAACTTAAGTCATTTGCAACCTTGAGCCACAAGGACGCTTCTCTTCCCATTTTTGCAATAATTCCAGCAATCAGAACAACCACAAGAGGCAATCCCTTACAGTGTTGGGCAATTTGTAATCCTGCTTCCACTAGATTTGAGGGACAATTCTCTCCTCGAAACACTTTCTTCTGCAATAATACCCAACTCTCTTCCCTTGTTAGAAATCTAAGAGAATAAGGATCACTACGGTGCTGGAGATGCTTAGCAACTTGTTCAATTCTAGTTGTTACCATTACTCTGCATCCGTTTGCACCTATAGGGAAACATAATCTCACATCCTCCCATGCCTCGACTTCCCATATATCATCTAACACGATGAGGTATCTCTTGCCTATTAGAAACTTGCGCAACATGTCAGCTACATTATCATTCTCCTTGATTTTGCACTCTTTATTTATAGCTTGTTCGAAAATCTCAACCAACAACGTCGTCCTATCATATGCTTGAGACACAGCACACCATACTTTAACATCAAAGTGATTAACAATAGAAGGATTGTTGTACACTTTCCTGGCCAAAGTTGTTTTTCCGAGTCCTGGCATTCCAAAGATTGAGAGGACATCCAACTCCTTTGTTCTTCCAGTCAATTTCTTCATTATAATTTCTGCATCATTCTCAAAGCCGACGACTTCATCATCATCAATTGATGGAATGCTGCGTTTGTTGGAAGGCTCTCCAGAAGAAAGAGTAGTTTCCTTTCCACAAGTCTCAACAACATCCATGCCTTGAGTAATTAGTAGCTCTACCACCTTTCAATCTTTCATAAAACAAATGAAAACAAACATTAACAATCTTAAACTTTTAGAAGAAAAAAAACCAAACCAAAAAATTATAGTAACAAAGTGAAGTCTTATGAGTCTAAAGGCCACCACTATATAATCAAGATGAATGAAATGAATAGTTCACTTCTTCTGATCTTAGGATGGAAATGTCTATGAATTATAATTTCTAACTTAGTATAACAATATTAGGATCCAAATAAATCACATGACATACGAAATCTAACAAAGCAGAACTCGAAAGACAACTAATCAGACAACATAAAGAGAAATATAACAAAAGAGACGCAATAATTTAATATGGATCTCTCAGTTGACCTCAGATAAAGAAATGAGCAATCTATTACCGTATAAAAGATATTACAAAATATTGAAAGAAAAATAAACTCATAAAATTTAGAAATTTGACCTTTCGTTATTGAGAGTGGCAATAGGGGGTGATTAGTTGCTCCAAGGTTGCTTAATGCTTTTGGGTTTAGAGAAATCCAAACTCTAAGAAGAATGAAGAGTGATGTTAAAATCTGGATAGGAAGAAAAAACATACTAGGTGCTTATTTTATTTTTGTTTCCCATCCGGTGTCTGGTACCCACGTTGGAGCCCAATTAAATTTGAATTTGCGCCAGAAAGTCCCATATTGGGAGTAAATTGCTCCCTAACAAAGGCAACTCCGTACTCAAGGGGGCTCGAACCCGTGATCTCTTAGTTAATGATGAAGGAGTACTTACCTCTCCACCACAACCTTATTGGTCATACTAAGTACTTATTATTATTCCATGTTTTGCGCCTCAATATTAATTATTTATTTTTTAAGATATAAGACTATATACTAATTAATATAAGTATTGTGATAAAATATTTATATTTTTTAGGGAAAATGCATAAGTACCTCCCCAGCCTATGCCCGAAATCCCAGAGACACACCTAACTTTTACTAAGGTCCTATTACCCCCCCGAACTTAATTTATCTATAATAGTCTACCCCTTTTCGGCCTACGTGGCACTATCCTTGAAAAAAATGTCAACATGCGTTGGGCCCACAAGACAGTGCCACGTAGGCCAAAAAGGGGTAAAATATTACATATAAATTAAGTTTGGGGGTAATAGGATCTTAGTAAAGGTTAGGTGTGTCTCTGGAATTTCGGGTATAGGCTGGGGAGGTACTTATGCATTTTCCCTATTTTTTAAGATAGGTGCATAATTTTAAATGAACAAATAAAAATGATGGAGCGAGTACATGTTAATTAAACAAATATTGTAAATAGTACTACATAAGATGTTAATAATCATACAAGTTAAGTTGGTATACCAATAATCATTTTTAATTTTCTAGGTCTGACTAAAATTTAAAACTCCCCATCAACAACAGCTGTATGTACAGTGTGCCGGTACCTCCATGTTATTTCCTTGAGAAGATACTTTTGTACCTTTTTTTTTTACTTATCGTAAATTTTTTTAATTATCATAATTTTCTTTTTATTTATATATAAAAAGAATCAATTAATTAAAATATACTAATTGACGTTAAAATAAATATTATATTGCTCTAAATAATTAAAAAATCCTATATAAAAAATAAAAGTTATTTGAACAAATATGAATCTTTCTTTAATGTTTTTAATTCTTTTATTTATTTATATATTTATTTTGATTACCACATTATATTGTCACTACAAAATTCCTAAAAGAAAGTATATTTGAGCCAAATTTCAGGTGAAGTTATGATGGCAAAATTCCTGATTTCCCCAACATTTTATTTTGTTTCCTAACGTTTAAGATAGTGACCGACATAGATTTAGCATGTATAAAATGATTGTACGATTTGAGATGAAAACAACGATCAAGAGAATAATATTTTTTTTTCCAGATCTCATGTGTAAAAATGAAGATCGATAGTAAGAACGTCATAAAACTAGAAAAATTTGTAAATAGCATACAAAATCAGTTCCCCTGTTAAGAGCATGTTGTTGCAACAGTGCTACAATTCATTCTTGTGCTACATCAATACTGTACACAACAGTAGCAGCACAAATAACTAAGCACTTTCACAAATTTATCTTCTTCTTTTTTTCTACCTAGTGTTTGGAGCCCATAAAGGAGCTCCAATTAAATCGTGCTCTGCGGGGGCCATTTGGGGGTGACGCTCCCAACATAATTTTCTCCATTATCCAGGGCTCAAACCCGAGACATCTGGTTAAGAGTGGAGCACTTCCACCAGTGTAATTGAACTTTGATTAAATTTTAGTTAGAACAGAAGTTAATAGCATATTTAGTTAAATTTTTCAATGAGATTATTTTTAAAAAAAAAAGTAATTTTCAAAAAGAAAATACTTTTAGTGAAAAAGCCGTTAGTGTTTGGTTAATTAATTTAAAAACATTTTTGGTCAACAATTAATATTTAACCAAACTTTAAAAAAATGTTTCTAAGTATATTATCTTAAAAGTATTTTTTTTCAAAAAAGTACTTTTTGTGAAAAATATTAATTTAGTATGTGAAAACAGTTTGTGCTGCTGCAAAAGCATTTATTTTCTCTCAAAAGCATAACCAAACATCTCATATTTTGAAATTGACCTCTCAAAGACTTGCAAAGTTGAATTGCAATCTCAGCTTCCAAGTTAAAAAGTTTCCTAATAAAAAAAAAACAGATAATGTGACAATACAAAAGTGGAAATAGAGCAACTTTGAATTGCTTCTAAATACATTTATATTCGGTTTACAATTAGAACATGGAGACTGTCACATCCTGTGTTTTCTTCAATGTCTCTTCTGATATTCATAGCTGAAACCCCTAGAGAGTCGATGCAGTTAGTCAGTTCAATACGTCTTAGTGTTGGAATATCCGCAAAGCTTGGGGGGATCTCCTTGAAATCGGAACATCCACTTATAACTAGCTTCTCAAGCACAGGAAAGGATTCCTCTGAAGCTTTCCATTCTTCTATCTGCACAAAGAATAATCCCAAGTATTTGAGTGCAGGAAACTCCACATTTGTGACATTCCAGCAACAGTTCCGAAGCCTCTGTAATCTCATAAAAGGAAATCCCATGTGTAATTTGAGACTCTCAAGCTTCTTCAATCTTGCAATGTTTAAAACCATTTCTTCCGTCAAGAAACAGCCGCGAAGGTTCAAATGCCTAAGATTTGAAGGGAACACAAAATTCCTCTCCCATCCAACTGACTTGAAGACTCTATTTAATGAGAACGTCAGAGAAACAGACTGAAGGCGAGTATGAACTTCTGGTATGGGAAACAAAGGAAACTTAGGTTTATATTTAACGTGGAGGCCGAGTTCTTCAAGATTCGGAAACCTCCACCACAACCTTGCATTCATATTATCCAAGCGTATATC